ACGTTGCTGATCAACTTCCATCACCTGGATTACCGTCATTGCTATCTGGATGGATCATAGTAGTGGGCATGGCAACATATCCACCGTCATAAAATGGACAGAAAGTAAACAACTCTTAGCTTCTGGTGCAGAGTCTCTACTGCATAGGATTTATACAGCTGGTTGGGTCCAGGACCCTTCAGAGGGGGAGGGGGCATGGCTGAAGTCAATACTGCTGGCTGGCTTTATCCTACTACTTATAGTTTTGTTGAGAGTAGCCTTAATTAAATTTCTCATGAGATAAATTGAACAGTTTTGGTCCCAGGCTCTGTTCATAACTGCAGAAGCCAACAGAGTGGCTTACTTATTGGGAAAATTTGCCATAAATCAAGATGGTATAAAAATGAAGAGTGATTACTATTGGGAAGTAATTCTCCATACATGTCTTAAATTTCTGTATGTCTACAAGCAGAGTTACAATTGCCTTGATTCCAACCTCTCTTCAAGAATTTTTGTATTGAAGGGGGTGCTTGGGTGGCCCTGTCGGTCAAGTGCCTGACTCTTGATTTCGGCCCAGATCATGATCTCATGGTCGTGGAATTGAGCCCCACATTGGGCTCTGCACTGGGACCCTGGGCATGGAGTCTGCCCAAGATTCTCCCTCTCCTTCTGCCCCTCCCCCACTTTCATGCACTCTCTCTGTCTCTCTCTCTTTCGGAAAAAGTATTTTTATACTGGGAACACCTTTTTGTTTTTTTGGAAGAGTGTTACATGCTAGAAGTCTTCTGGAGCAAAGGCTAAGTGTCCTTAAAGTCTTAGAAAATAGAGATAATGTCTTCCTGCAGAGCAAAAGGTAGGCATGCTCATAGTTAAGTATAACAAACATGTTTACCTCTATAGTCATGAAAAGATCATGCTTACCGCCTATTACTAAAGGTTCAGGTTCACTGTGCTTGGGGTTCCTTTCCTGTAGTGCAACCCATTGCTTGTGCAAGTGTCACTTCATCTTCTTTGCTTCTCCCTGTAGGATTTGGAGCTTGAGGAACCAGCACAAAGGCTAATCCTCTAGCTGTTGCTTTTGCTGTGAGTGTTGTGAGTAGTAAGCTTTTTTAAAATTTTTCCTCAGACCCAGGTGTCTTGTGCCTTCCACCAGCATCCATGCTGCCTCATTAGATAGCTTACAAGCAGGCTAAAATTTCAGATCCTTAACTATCCTTCACAATTAGTAACTATAAAATATTTACCTGTAATGTAAATGGTCTAAAGAGTTGAAATTTATTTTTGTCCATATAAAGTATAAAATGATTGCTTCTTATTGGCATGGAGTCGTTATTTAAGCAGTGATTGAAAGATACAGGCTACTTCATTATTTTTGTTGATTTACTTTTGGTTTTGTTTGGTCTTGAGTTTTCAAGTTTGCCATGCTCCTCTGCATCAAGCTTGCTGAAAGGCAAGGAGCATGGAGGGATATACATTGGATATTTCATCCAATTGATTGGAATTTGTTCAGATATAACTGTTACATAGGGGAGAAGCGTAGTCCATTCCTTCGTCCATACAGAAGAGAAACGGATTTGGTGGAAAATGTTTTCCACAGATGGAAGGTATTTCTAAGCAGCAGAAACCTCATGTATACAGACATGAAAGGGTGGAAGACATGATTTTGCCCTGGCTAAAATCAGAGGACGCATGAAGTAGAGACAGTGGTAGAAGATGAGAGGCTTGTCATAAATCATTTTACCTTAGACTGATGGATTGCTCTGAAGGTGACTGCTGGATGCTGAAAGATTTTTTTAGTCATGGAAAAACAAGATGAGAAACACTACCTAGGAAGCTATAGCAACAGATTGGATGAGAAAAAAAAAATGACAATTTTAATGAAGCCAGTGACAGAAGAGATTCACCAGCATAATCAAAAAGTAATTACTGAGCACAGTCTAAGTGTTATGCATTGTGCTGGGTGCTGGGTATATGCCAAAATAAAATAGTTAATAAATGGGCCACTTAGATATAAGTGGTAAGAAAGAAGGTGAAGAATAGCATGTGGTGGGAGAATGTCTGAAGAGAGGCATGAGGTGGGGAAAATAATGAGATCAGTCATGAATCACTTCTATATACTTGGACAGCACTTAGGTGAGTTTGTCCAGTAGACATTGTTTATGTGTAGCCGAAGCTCCTTACAGAAATCAATACAGAGGTAGTAATGACTAGAAAAGGGCTAAAGATCATTGAGAGAGGGCTCTCACATCATACATATTCAAGTGTTAATGGGTTTTATTTATTTGTTTGTTTATTTAATTTATTTTGCTGTTAACAAGGAGAACACATTTTAATTTTGTTCAGATTTCTCAGATTCACTGATAGAGGGAATACATATCCATGCTTACACAAAACAATATTATATTCAAGAAGAAATCTAATATCAAGTGAGCTGATATTCTGCTTTTGTTATGGGATAGAGACAGTCTGCCTTGTAGGAATGGAGGTCTCAGTCTTGGATTCCCCATGAGAAGATTTACAAGGGGATCCGTGCTCATGCTCAAATAAAGGCAGCTAGAAGGAAAGTAGCCAGCACAAAGCAGTTTTATTAAAGGAAAACACATTCCTAAGGTGGGAGAGCAGGCAGGTTCCAGGAGGTGGAACCAGCCCCCAGGTTGTTATTGGATTGGATATTATGGGGGCTCTCTGGGCTAGGGGAGTACTGTGAGTTACAGTGGGATGGTCTCTAATGGAGGCTGTTTCTAGTCATTTGGAGGGGGAGTTTTTAACCCTATGAGGTTTGTGGAATCATCATATCATTTGTCAGGCAGGGCTGTATACGTGCAGTGCAAATGCATTATAATGAGTGTAGAGGTTCTACTGGGGCAGAGCTGGATGAGGAGAGGACAAGTTTGTACCTGTGGCTCTTTGGTCTGTCACTCCTGAGGTCTTAGAAGCCATCAGGATGTTGTGCTCCCCAGCTTTAAATGTGTAGTTTATTTGTCAACATCCTTGGCTCCAGCTCCTGTCTCTATCATTCCTCTTCAAGGAATTGGGACTCTGCCTCAGGGCATTCTCTCCACTGCTCATATCTAGCTTCTACCTAACACTGAAATGGCTGTACTTGGTAGAGGTTCCTACATCAGTTTTTTCAGATTGTTGCTTCTGTTAGCTACACAGTGTTGTAAAGGAGTGTTTTAAGTTTTTTAATTGCATTTGGCATGTTGTTACCACCTTAAAAAAGACTGTGTTTCTTGTGGTTGTTAAAACATTGCTGTTGAATAAAGAAGTACTCTTCATCCATGTATATATACTCCAAGCTAATTGCTGTTGAAGGTGCAGGTTCAGGAAAAAGCAGGAATGAAAAAACATGGCTTAAGATTGGTCGGTTTTGTTTGTTTTTTATTTCTGCTGTTTAAGGACTGAAGGTAACAAAAAAGAATGAGCTTCTGTTATTCCACTTTTCCATGCCGTCCTTGTCATTTATTGCCTTGAAATTATGGCCACTGTAAATGAGACTTGATTTCATGGTTGCCTTCCAAAACTGAGTTTAAAGATGAGGAGCCCCATGCTTCCCTTACAACCTGCTCAGAGGATGTAGAGAGGAGAATTCTTTTCCTTTTTAGTTAATTTTTGCTCATTAAATTGCCCAGTTTAATGGAAATGTTGAGGGTGGTATGTAAACATTGTAGCAGGGATTTTCTGGGTTCTTTTGCTGAGTTAGCACACAATGCCAATAAGAGAACATATTGGCTATGGCCCTAAAAGGGCCAACGAGCAATATTCTGTGTCAGAAAACAAACTGGGTTCTGCATCCAGACCATTTGACCAGTATATGTCGATGATTGCTACAAGGACAGAGTGAGACAATACACATTGGTTGGCCCACATCCATCATCCCTATTGAAAGGCAAGACAAAAACAACTCTGTGAAGTACAGGTCCTGCTGATTTTGATGGATTCTATCAGCTATCTATTGAAGAAATTGATGGTAGTTGCCCACACTTAACATAGCTTAGAGATTCTAGGGAATTATCATCATTTTAACTGTGATATGACATTGAGAAAGGCAGTTCCTATTTTTCTTGTTTTAAACTGTGTTTTTATTTTTTTTAATTTATTTTTAAAGTGTATTTATTTTGAGAGAAACAGAACGTGTGAACGGGGGAGGGAGAGAGCAAGGGAGAGAGAGAATCCCAAGGAGGCTCTGCACTGCACTGTCAGCACAGAGCCTGATGTGGGGCTCCATCTCATGAACTGTGAGATCATGGCCTGAGCAGAGATCAAGAGCCAGATACTTAATTGACTGAACCACCCAGGTGCCCCATAAACTAGTGTCTTTTTAAATATGTGTCCATAGTACATGGTTTGGGCCAGAGGTTCTAGAGTCTAGACCTTCTGCCATTTCAGATTTGGGCAAAAGGTGGAACAGTATTACACTGGGTTACAACTAGGTGTTCCCAGTGGAATATTGAGGGTTTAGACCCTACTGGAGTGGCTCTGTACTTCGGGAGCTATGTTTAGGTGCTGGTTGTGCTGTGTGACACAGAAAATAAATAAGCAGCATACCTTTTTGTCTAGTCTCAGCTTTTCTGGGCATAGGCCAAAGAACCACAACCACATTCCTCAAGTTCAAGGTATGGAGTGTGGCATCTTTAAGACTGTGCTTGGTAGAAGTATGTTAATACAAAGAAACACTTTTGTAATGAATTCTAACAATAGTAAATTTTATCAACACACAGAGAGTCACTCAACAAATTTGCTCTATAAATCCTAAGTATATTACCTTTTCCACAGTTATATTTTAGAAATTAATCTTTGCAGTTTTCATCTAATGACTGGATATTACTGAGCTAGAAGAAAAAAATGATCTCATGTTGCTGATAATACAAACTTGATATTTGGATTATAGCACTGTGTTGAATTTAGCTTTCTGGGGTGAGAACTTTCTATAACAAAGTGTAATTGTTTGATTTTTCAAATAAGCAGGTTTGATGATCTAACTGTTACCTATTTGTCTTGCCTTGTATTTTCCATTTCAGGAAACATCCCAGTTATCTGGACTCCCTGAGTATGTTAAAATAGTAGAAGTTGGACCTAGGGATGGATTGCAGAATGAAAAGGTAGTTTGATACTAGTTTAATATAGTTATTCCAAATGCTAAATCAAAATATTTATTAAGATTCTGAAGACTTAGATGGGTTTCATATATTATACAATTGTGTTTGTCCTCAATTGCTACTTGAATTTATGCATCTTAAATATGATTTGCTTCTGTTAGGAAGTAATTTTCTATTTATGCTTCAATAGACACTATGCAAATTACTTATAAGATAATTTTTAATGCTTTCATAGGTTATAGTTCCTACAGACATAAAAATTGAATTTATCAATCAACTTTCCCAAACTGGCTTGTCTGTAATAGAAGTGACCAGCTTTGTGTCCTCCAGATGGGTACCACAGGTATGTAAATCCATAATTCCTTAATTGAATCTTTAATTCAACTTTGCCAAGATTTAGCAAATACTGTAAATTGTAATATTAACCTGATATAATTACTAATTTACTATGGTTTTTTTTCCAAAATATTACCCCATGCACTGAGACATGATTAAGGAAAAATCCCTCTGATGAAACATCTTCTATCCATTAAGTCCTAAAAAGTTACTGGGAACTCCATCCCAAGCCTACCTGAGTATAATGGTCCAATATGATGAGTAGATAAGGCTCTTAAATAGCAATTTAGGAGCCTGCTGTCCATTAACTACTTACTGACTTCATAAATTATCTGAATATCTTTAGGTGCTTTCACTTTCTTATCTCTTAGAATGAAGTATTGATGAGTTGCCTGATACCTTAAAGATAAAATCTCCTATTAGAAGTGTAGATACATACTCACTTTTTTTTTTTTTTTTTTTTTTTTTTTTAGCACTTAAATTTGCTAGAGAAATCTATCATAGCAAGACAAAGGGAGTCATCTCAATCTTCTCTTAAGATAAAGCCTACCCAGATTTGACAGTCATGGGGCAACAATCATCCCTTCTGAGATTTGGCTCTGGTCCTTGAAACATGATTAGTAGCCATTAAACCAATCCCTCTCCCTTTCCTATCTAATACCTGTGCTCATTCCTGGGATCCTTCAATCTCTCCCTGGCACTTAAGTTCACTGATTATCTTCTCATCTCATTCCCTTGGTTGTTATTCTCTGTAATCCTCATTCAGTTACTTGCCCAACTGCTCTTTTTCTGTCATCCTTGACATCATGTAAGTTTAAAGTTCCCTTAACATTCTGCCTTCAGTAATTTCCTTGCCTGTGCTCTCTTCTTTGGCCTGTCCTTCCAACATTAACAGTCACTTTAAAAGGGTGACAAATCGAGGGGTGCCTGGGTAGCTCCATCATTTGAGCGTCCATCTTCTGCTCAGGTCATGATTTCACCTTTCCTGTGTCAGAGCCCCACCTCAGGCTCTGTGCTGACAGCTCCGAGCCTGAAGCCTGCTCCGGATTCTGTCTCTCTCTCTCTCCCTGCCCCTGCCCTGCTCATGCTCTGTCTCTCTCTCAAAAATAAACAAACATTAAAAAATAAATAAAAGGATAACAGATCTGTACTTTTGGTCCTGCCTTCTCTGATAAGCTTCATCTAGATGTGCAGTCATTACCTCAGACTCACTTGGGTTGAAATCAAACTCCCTACTGACCATCCTGCTTTATGTTAATAGCTCATTTTGGCAAACATTTTTTAATTATATGCTTCCTAGACTGTAAGAGTTACAGAGGTAGTGACCTTGTCTGTCACTCTTCCCCCACTGCTTCGTGCCTAGCAAGTAGTTATTGTGAAATGAATAAAGAATCAATCAGCCTGAAATAATAATAACATGTCACTTTGAATTTTTTGGTATGGACGGCTGACTCTTTTGTTCATGTATTTGGTTCTATGTAATGAAGACCACAGGTAATTTCCTTAGGAAGGCACAAAGAGCTTTAGGAGACTAGACCTATTTCCTTGACAATGCCATTTTGTAAAATTGCTCACCATTATTTTATGAGCTGTCATTAATTTTAAGGGAATGTGAGCCCCTTGTATCATATTTAAGTCTTCATGAAATTGCCTCTGTTTGATTCAGTTAGTGTTCATTTCACAAATTTGATGACTGTTGAAGAAAAACTAGAAAGACAGGTATAACTTTAGGGTAATGTCAGAAAAAAGAGTTCTTGTGCATATTAATTGATGACCAATCACAGTAGTATTTCAGATATAATATTTTACTAAGATATTATTTTACTTCAGATAATTTACTAAGATAATGTTTCACTTCAAGATTTTTTTATTTTCCAATGATTTTGTAAGGCTGCTTACAAAATACTCTTCTTTACTGAAGTGGTGCAAATTGTCACCAATTGTCACATCCTGTTATTACACAACTCTGGAAATTGTTTGATAGATTACTCTTGAAACTAATCTAAGTGACATTTAGAAAAATGAGGCTAGAATGCTTCTACAGGACCATCCTTCTTGTTTAGCCAGCTTAGAGAAAAGATGGTCAGAGCAAAAGGCAAGGCTGTCCCTCTGCATGCAGTAATGAAAAACTGCTTTTTGGTCTCATAATGTAAGTAGATGTGTGATGGGGCCATAAAATAAGATGATTTATTCTAGGCTTGGTAAATTCATGACTTAACCTATTGAGATTGAATGAACACTTCCTAGGCTCAAAGTATTATTGAATAAATGATGAAATTCCCATTGTGGCTCTTGAGGACAGCTGTGGTGAGGCCGAAGTACCTCTGGGACTGTGTTGCTGTCCGCATTCTGCCTTGAGCTTGAGTAAGTGACTTCACCTCTTTGGACATTGGAAATCCCAGCAATGCTGCCAATAGCATGGGAGCACTTAGGGCAGTAAGGCCCATGAGTGGATTCCTGCATATGAGTGCCCAGAGTCCAGAGCACCTGGCTCTGACCAGTTCTCAGCAGGCTTACCTGAGTGATTGCCTAACAGATGCATTGACTGACCCCTGGACTCCACGCAGTTAACTTCCTTCTTTTTGATAAAAAGACTTTTTCTTAGAGATGAAAGTATGTGTTTAAATACTGCAGCGGACAGGTCCGATCTGAATAATTGAAGATATTTATTCAAATACTAAATATATGTCCTGTGTTTTTCACTTTTAATTCTCATGTGGGCACGTGCATGACAAAGTGTTTCAAATTGTTAAACATCTGTAAAAAAGAAGCATGTCTGAATCAAATAAACTATCGGATTGAGTCTTCCAAAGTTATGCCAGTCATTTTCTAGATGACCTATCAACCTACCGAGGTCTTTTCAAAGGGCGATTGCGAGAATATCCCATTTTTTCAATTCGATTTTCCATAGTTGTGCTTGTGTTTTAGATTTCACTGAGATGGCCTGTGCAGAGCAGTTTTTATTGTAGTAGTCAGTGATTGTCTTATGATGTAATTCTGCCGATTGCATTGCATTGTCATGCTAATGAAAAGCTGGAAATCAGAACGAATTCATAATGCTAATTTCTCTTTGGACATTTTATCTTGTAACCACTGACTTTTGAAGAAACTGTCATGACATTAGACTCCTCTAACTTAAAATAACATCTGAGATGTGACAGAACAGTTTTAGTGCAACTGCTTACGGGTATTTGTGTGAAGTGATTTGTACTTCTAAAGACTGGGAGTGTGGCTCTAAATCGGTGTTCTATTAACTCTCTGCATTTTCTTTTTCTTTTCCTTAAATATAGGTCATGGGAATAGTCGTCTAGTTTATGTTTAGATTGCTGCTTGTTCACTTATTCTTTTTTTAGCGTTTTAAAGCGTTTTTACAGTTGCCGCCCACTGTTGTGTTTGGCAACGGCTTTCTAAGGCAGCTAAAAGAAAAGTTCCACAGTAGCAGGGTGCCATATAAAACAGGATCCCACACCTATCATCTAAATGGCCAGAGATGATAAAATACCTGCCATTAAAAAAAAAAAAAAACACACACACACACAAAACACAACATGTTCTTTACAACTTATCTGGAAAAAAAGACTTCCTTAGAGTGACATATAATATAAGAACATTTGAAAAGAATCCAGAAAGCCCCTCACTTCTATGGAATGAAGAAAGAAAACATGTTTATAAAAATAGATAGGCTTACTGCAACTTTGGAATGTGGCTCTTAGTAGTAAGTTATTTAAATCATGATAAAGACAATAATTTCAAAATAAACTAGTGTTTTATATTCATCTTATTTAGCTATTTGGTTTTAAATATTTTCATTCACATGAGTGATGAAAGTGAACATCACTTACGGAAAAATAAGAATACATTGAACATCCACAACACCGTATGTTTATGTAGATCATACGCAACGTATCAGCAAATGCTCCCTTTCAAATTCATTTTTTAACAGTTGGAAAGGGTGGGTGCCAAGTCATGACATGGACAGAGATTTTCTCTGTAAAAGTAGGAAAAAATCCTCAAAATACCGTAACAATTACTTACAAATTCGTTAAACACTTATAAATATAACCTAAGCGCAATGTGAGCAACAAGCAATGCGTAAACTTTCCCCTGCCCTCCTTTTAGTGTATGATGGAATTCTTTACTAGTAATGAAGACAGTTAACTGGATTGAAGTTTCAGGTTCAGATTTATGTTGGTGAGATGCAGGA